TTCCAGCACATGGACCACGCTTATCACCCTGCACCCTATCTGGCTCAGCGAAGCTACTTCAATATGAAAAAAAGTTGACACTTGTTTCCGTTGTTAGTGTGAAAACACTGCATGTTTGTAAAACAAGATGGTAGTACTTCAAAGGCTTCCGCCCGTGAACCTGTGGCAACCATTCTTTTCGTCCTCCTCTTAGGTTCCACTTAGAAAAGCATTCCCATGGAACTGACTATCAATTGCGAAATACAGTAATTCTACCCGAGTTTCAGGGTTACTAGGCCAACTAGGAGTCGTACATGGCCAGCAAGACAGCCGCATGGCTATTATTGATTCACTGACATTTCACGGACTGAATTACGAGTGGGCAGAAGCGAGCAGCGATGCGCTACAACGAACGCATGCCAGGTACGGCCACACATGCATTGGAAGTACTGGGACTTTGATTTGGGATGTTGAAATCACAATTGTAACGTGACTGACCTTCAAAGGCACTCGCACTCATTTTCATAGAGGTCGACAGTGAATTAAATACTTGGGCCAACATGTGAAGATAAGACTAGTGAAAAAGACATTAATTTTTATTACCATCGATCTGGAAAGCAACTATACACCCACCTTGGATGGTCGACCACCCACTGCCGTTTGTCTAAAGCAGATTCGAAGTTTCCGTTTTAATGTCAAGCGCTGAAGGCGACACTATGTCTGTCCTTAACACAGGGCCACCAGTATCCATTCGGTCATTTAATAAATGACATTCTGTCACGATCACAAACGGTCAAACAGGTGTTTCATTGATGACTCAGGTGAAGTGAATGTGCCCCAAGCATTCTCAAAGCAACCATCTACGGGCTCGACGAATGGGCTCGAGGTCCTGATAAAATATTCCGTGGTTGGTGTCAACTCCTGGTTACGCTTTCGTACTTAATTGCAGCCCATGAGCAATGCGACAAAAGGGTACTACATATGCACTTACAGAAAGTCGTGGTAACATCAGGCCGTCCAGTGAAACGCGGTCGAAGGGCGTGTGACAATCATCCTTCCCCATCATTACCAAAGACTCTCCTAAAGACAAATAAACATGCTGCATCGTCATATCATGAACTATAAGATAGCAACTAAAGAGCGAAACACATGAGGTCTTGCAAGCAACACTTCATTTCTGCTTTTTCTTCAGATTAGTCTTGTTTCAACAATCGGCCGTAAAGTAACAGTATACAAATATCACATCCAAGCCAAAGGCAATTACATGCAAGAAAAAGTTAAGATAGTTCACAGAAAAGTGAGGAATGGGCACGGATTCATCTAACACGAACGGCTGGCATGACAGCACAAGGAAGTCAACTTTCGGGTTGAAAGAGAGGAAACAGATTAGCAAGGAAAATGTACGATACACGAAGCTATGCACAGCTCGAGAGGATAGAGGGCGCAGAATGTAGTTAGTTGGAATGTAAAAGCAACCTCAGAGATTGTAGTGCACCAACTAAAAATGCACCCGCTCGATCTTCCACGCACCCAAGGAGTAGCGCAGACGGATGAGTAGAAGATCTTTAGCCATCTGCATCCAGGAGAAGATGGGAATAAGTTTGGAACCTGTCAAATGGAATGAAGGCAGGTGGGAGATTCATAAAGGTATTCAAACGACAGACCACGAGTGCTACAGACGAAGTGTGGAATGGAGATATTGGACGAATGCATATATCCTACGAGCACCTTAATCCAAACGGCAATAGTCAAATCCAGACTTCATTCTTAGTTCGATTAAAGCATGTTTGTAATGGATAACTGTGGGAGACACCCAAGAACACTTGGATCTAATTCGTCCTCCTAAGGAAGTAAGGCAGCTTACTTCAAGCCATGATAAACTGTGGAGAGCAACACATGTCAACGTGAACGTGAATGCTGCGTCTTCCCAAATCACACCCTGTGGACGGGTGCCGTTTTTGTGTGTGCTGTGTCAAGACATTGACGGGGCCTGACAACTCCAGCTTAGCTCATAAGTTTCGAATCACGTCCTACAGAACCCTGAAGCTCCCAGGCAATGCACGGTCGCTTAGTCCTCGTTGAAAATCGGTACTTGGGCCTCCAATCCTGAAGGGGCTCCGGCCGGGTACTCTTAGCAAATAAAAAGTCATAAAATAAGCGTTGAGCTGTAACGAACTTCCAGTACATAATTTCCATACTACCCGGAGGAAGCACGAAGGCTGAGATACTACTAGATTGCCCAAGCCTTGAAGCTCGTAATAGCCAGGAACAGAAAATGTTCAGCACACATTTTCCGTATGGCGAACATAGACTCCAAATCTACCACCTACCTGTGCTTTCTCCGGACTACGTGTTCTAAATTGGGCATGCATATCTGCTGCCACAGTGACTCTGTCCATTAATGTTGCTGACCGAAAGAGTCGCGACAGATCTCGGTAAGGACCGTATTTCCTAGATTTGGGACAACAGTCTTTCGGATTGTGTGCTGATAGGATAAATAAGCATCGCCTACTGCATCAATCTGCATTGACCCTAGTTGAGCCAGACAACCGGACAGCACAAAGATGACTATTTATTGGGATACAGTCAACTAAAGCTCCTTCAGTTTTGGGGGCGGGTGCAACTTCCGTAGATATCACGAGCCAGTGCCAGATGGTTACCAGATACCCGAGGAGTGAAGTGTAAAACATCTGAGCTCATCCTAAGTGGTGTGAACTACATGACCGAAGTGGAGGTCTACATTCGTGTCACGGAGACAATATATATCAACAGACAGGGTAGGAAAAAATTCAGCGACAGATACTTATTACCCCACTTGTCAGAGAGTATGAACACTGTGACGCAAAGGCTCAATGGGGCGGCTAAATAAAATGCGAAGATCGTATCGGTCTGCGAATGACGTCTTATTATCCGCTTGTGATACGGGTGTTATGGTGGCACGCTAAACCACATGTTCACATTTGTAAAGCACTATCCTGCCTTCCTACGGGGAAGGACGGTGCGAAAAATTGCCCTAAAACCCCACATCGTGATCGCCCGATGACATACTGTGACCGTCCGAGAGTCATCCAACACAGTCGGAGGAGTTAAATGCGCTAAGAGCCAGACGAAGTTATGAAAGATCTGTTATGCTTAGCAGTATGAATCACGTTTCTACACCTTACTCTTTGCGCCCTCAGGCTAGACAAGCCTCTCTCAGAGTGCCACGTCGTTGGTTCCTAGCAGATTCACTCAAAAACATGGTTGATCGCAACGGATACTACAGGCAGCCAATTTACACGTGTAAGAAGTTCTGTCATGAGAACTTTTCGTTAACACATTGGGTACATCGAAAAGATGAAACGTGTCAAGTCATTAAAACCATCAACGACGACGACGAAGATAACAAATACAGGTATTTTTGAGACGCGGTCATCCTGAACACTTGGCTTAAAAACATGATTTCAACATTCCAAAGTGTCGCCATAACACTGCTGGCTCACGCGTAACACTTTTTAGGGTATTCGGACTAAGCAGCTATGTTCATCACACACACATGGTCACTTGATTGTGCTACCATTACTAAATCGATCAGTAATCCAAGTGGACCCAGTGGAGCGACTCTCACTGTCGTAGTGGGCTCAAAAAATCTAGGGGAAAGGATGGTGCTTCCTATTAGATGATTCTACCTACGCGTTTAACTGAAGTGTTTTATTTAAACGGATCCAGTGCTACGAAAAATTTCAACGCGGGTTCGGTTATCCAAAGCTGTGTCAATGTAAACTGAAAGATCATCACAATAAACTAAAGTTCCCATAGATTGCCGCAGATGCGCTTCCAATTACTTCGATGAAGTAGGAACTATACATTCCCAGTACAGATTAGACAGCCGCCATTGCGTAATAATTTTGTTTAGTCTAGGTACTCAATGTTTTCTCATACCAGAAACCCTACGGAATGGAATGGTTCGTTAGAAATCATACAATCGACTGGTGCAGACATTCTCAAGGGGATCTGACCAAATCGGGTAAGATAATCAGATGTGAACATTTGGTTCACCAACGGTGATCTATGTGCTAATCTCACAAAGTTTCGATTTTAGTTAGTGAAGCTATGCACCCACTAACCATATAGGTGCCATAAATCGGAAGGAAGCACGGACTTTGAGGTAGCTCTAGGTTGTTTGTTATCTAGCCGTCGATCTGTGCACCGAGTTTGGTGATTAACTTGCAAACATCTCACCACCAGGCGAGGATACATCATCAGAGAATGGGACACCTACACAACTGCGGTCTCCTCATCTGGTAACCAAATATTTGCGAGCTACGTGCCAAACTGGGCTAACAAATGAACAACCAATGGGTGCACCCAAGCTACCGACATTTCGGTACACTGCCGTATGCCTAAATTGCCCCAGCTTACACTGGGGCGAAAAACCACGAGTGGGTCCAGCCAGTAAGGTGCACGTGAACCTCTGAAATATCTTCAGCACAGCTTCTAAGACGAAGGTAGGCATATACCATTATCAGACCAGTGCGATTTCGGCCATGCTGAAATTTAATGGCTGAATGAATGGTACAATATCAGTACACCACGTTGAATTACGCACTTTAAACGACTTGTTGATATCACTGTACCAATAGGTGATCCGTGTTCGTGTTTCGCTTCAGGACATGAAAGCGCTGCTCACTGGGACGTAGTTGGCTGTACTGAGAATAACACTCGCAAATTACGCCACGAACCACATTCCTAGTCAGAAATAGGGTTTCAAAACGACCTATTCTTGTCCAAAAATTGGGTCACATCAGTCACATGGTGCACTGAGGCACGCTGAGATGTTCAACGCTCATAAAGCTACGCAGCTCAGCGAGCACGAAGACGATTTAACAAAAATAATCAATTCACACTTCTTCCAAAAAACTCACGATCAACAAGTAAGGTGCCAGATCAATGTCATGTCATTAAACGTACCTCCCAAAGAGCAATCGCGTGTAACATCCTCGATAACAGCATAAAAAAGAGGAATTCTGCACAGAACTTACCATCCACTTCGTGCCAGTTAACAGGAACTTCAACAATCTCCATATCGAAATAACGAGCCAAATAGAGAAGATCAACATCGAACGCCCATCGGTCCACGTGCAGATTATGGAACAGCAGGCGAGCGGCCGATCGACTGAACAGTTTAAACCCACATTGAGTGTCACGTATGCCACGTACACACAGAAGCCACACACAAAATTTGAACCCATACATCAGTAGGTTGCGCAGTGGGTGGCGCTTCACGATTGCTTCCGCTTCCAAGTGGGCCCTGGATCCGCAAATAATGGACATGCTGCCATTCTGAAACAGATTCAAGAACCAGAAGGGGTGCATACATCTGCTGGGCGCAGGATCAACACGTCGTATTGTCACATCTTACCACATAACAACATCGGGGTTTTGGGTGGTATATTGAAGGAGATGCAGTAACACAAATATGGTACATTTACTGAGTGAAGTGCGGTAGGCCCCAAATTAAGCAACCTTCCCACAAACAATAACCCCTTTGGAGAAAAGACTTCAGCGAACCTGAAAACTGCCAATACGGGGTCATTCCAATAAACAAAAGACCGTTCAAAACGCAAAGAGAAATACTTAGTTTGGGCATTTGCCCCATCTTCACATTAAAAGCCTTTTGATTTGTATCCAAGAAATTCACAGCTTTTGATTTCAGTAGGGTGAGAGGCTGTCGCGATCCACTCAAGACTAGGAAGGCAGATGAAAAGTTTCGATGAACGATGCAGATAACCACGTTGATCAAGAAGACTTCACCTCGATGAGTATACATCACAATGACATTGAAAACTGTACAACAAAAGGCATAAAGAAGCCTACTAGGCAGACTACCAAAGATCGATATTTCTGTGACCGAATGGAAAAAATGATATTTGAACACGGGCACCATGAAATAAAATCGACACCCTTTTGCTGAGAATAGATGTTTCTACGACAATTCCAAATAGTTCACATGTTTTTGAGTGAAAATAGTTCTTCATATATAAAATATAAAAATAAATAAGTAGTTCAGCTGTAACACCCTTCCGGCGCCTAGCTAACATGCCACCCGAAGGGAGCACGAGGGCTGGAATACTGCCAGGTTGCCCAACCCTAGACAGGTGAAGTCGAGAGGCAGAGGTCGGATTCGAACCACGGACCTTCCGGTCAGTAAATTCGCGCTCTAACCACTTGAGCCATATATAAACGCAGGAAAAGCTGCGGGAATATGACAATCATTCTAGAGATAGGCATAATTTTCTTCCACCACTAAATTCCAAAAGAGTGCGGCTTTGAGTATGCAGCAGAACAGTTTTTGTGGAAGATGGGTAAGCAGCCGACACCTTTGAGAGCTGGATTCCGACGGAATATACCCGCATTTTTCGAACGCTTCATGGAGTAGTAGAGAATTCTTAAGAGGGTACTCCAAGCGTATCTTTTCGTTCATTCCGGTTGTACTTGGAGTTCTCACTTCGAGATCTGCATTTCCATTGTTTAAAACTAATTTTTCAACATAAGGTTCCAACATTCACTATCTTCTAGTACCGTGACAATATCATCTTCCGACCTACCATACAACAACATACAACATACAACACAGTCTCCTGGCCCTCCAGGTTGGGGGTTGGAACATGTGGCGACTTGTTCCGTAGAAATGGTAATGAATTTGCATTTCCCGCCAAACACCGCTGCCTTGCGGTTAGGCTTTTGAGCCAAAGGCTTTGGCTGAGGACCCTAATCGTC